TTCTTCTTCTTCTTTTTTTTTTTTTTTTTTTTTTGATTTTTCACTTTTCCAAAAGTCCAAACAAGTGATGACTTTAGGACATAGCATTCTGGAGAAAACAGGGGAGGGAAACAAAGTCCTCCTTGGTTAGGGAAATGGAGAAAAAGCACACAGGGGGTGAGGCCTTTGGATTTTCTGAAAGAGCGTCCCCATGATCAAAAACCCGTACACAAACCTTGTAGGTGCTGGGCCTATAGGAACTGTAAACAGAAGGACAGAATGAATATTCCTGGGGTACAGAGACTAAGTCAATGCCAGTGTTGAAAAACTTCCAATATGTGGGTCTGGAAAATGTTCCTAGTGCAAAGCAGAGTTTTCCGGGCGGCTACCATTCCTTCACAACCTAAGAGGGCAGAGGCTGAAGTCATCAGGCGAGGATCTGTCTGCTCTGGCTAGTCTTGGGCTGTTCACCACATGCCTGTCCTAATGATTAATTAGATTATTTCAGTGTTTAGAGTATTGTGAAGATATAACACTGTATTAGAACATTGCATTGTATTGGCTTGGGGATAATACCGTCATGCAAATAACATGAAAACAAGTTTTTTAAGGTGAGGGTTCAGGAGCTCCGTGTAACTGTTCTGAGTCTCTCTTCTCACTCTGTCTGTCTACAATTTGCTTCTGAAGGGACTTTGGTCCATGACAACATAAGGGAGGAGATAAGCAGGTTGATAAAATGGCAAACTTCTAAGGAGTCCAAGGAAAGAAGAGATTTTGTCTACAAAGTTGTGTCAGCTATCGCTGTTGGATTTTTGGAGATTTTATCCAACACTCTCAGCTCTTTGATGCCCCAGGGGGCTGGCCCTTATGCTCTGTGTCACCTGGGGTCTCTTGTCTGCTGAATTCTGAATTTTGCCAATGAGAGCAGCAGCGGGAGATTAGATAAATGTCGGAATGTTTCTTCCCTGTGTCTGAGCCTGACAACAGCTGTGATCCTCCTAGTACAGATTTTACCAGGAGGTCCATTCACAACCATTCCTCCCCACACACAGTTTTGGCTGTCAATGGGCTCCTGTCGTGCTATTTTGCCCTTTTTCCTTCTCAGTCCTAAGGGTCTGAAGACCCCATTGCTAGGCTCTAGGTGTCTCTTCTCTGTAAATAATCCCTTTGACAACGTCTTCATTTGGACCATCTGCAGGGATCTGTGGCTCCCTAATCATAACAAGTTTCCTGAGGGAAGTAAATATTGCACACTCAGCATCATGGTATTCTAGTTTGTTCCTGACTATTGACTTTGTCCTATGGGAGAGGTCATCTTTGTGCAAATTGGCAATCCACAAGAAGTGAGCTGTGCACAAGAGCATTTGAAGAGTCACGACACACAGTCATAGCAGGAAGTGGCAAGGCAGCAAGCTGTGAAGAGGCAGAAGGGGAAGATGGGGACCAGAAGCTGAAAGATACAGATGATCCAGAGAGCAATTGTAATAGACACGGAGGTGAGCTGCTCAGATTGCAGGTGTGTGGTCCACCAAGCAACCTCCAGCTGATGCTCCCTTCTGAGTCTGCCTCAGCAGGGAAATGCCATTTCTTACAGGCGCAGCCCAGCCGGGTAGGGTATAAAGGGTATGAAGGCCTGGCTATACTGCCTGATGGTTTGTTCGGCTCCTTCTTCTATACAACCATGCAGCCTCCCTCTTCAAGTACTGACCTCTAATAAACATCTTGCATTCAAACTCCATCTCTGCTCCCTGAGAACCCAACCTATAAGGCTAAGTTTAAAAGAATTTACAGCAAGAGCAGCAAAAGCACATTAAAATAATTAAACCATTTTTACTTTTTGGATTTATTTTATAGATTTCATATGTTGCAAGGAGCATTTATATTTTATACAGAGGCAGAGAAAGTCCCAGGGGGCGTGAGAGCTGGGTGAGAGCCATGGCTGATGAGTTCTTTCAGAGCTTCCGAAGGAGGGAATCCAGATCAGAAATGTGCAAACTTCTAAGAAGTTAGAGCTTCGTTCAGTGACACTATGGACACACACAGGATTATTTGAGACTAATCTGAGTTTACATTTAGGAGGTAAAATAGACATAACCATGGAGGATCAGGGCTATGAAGCATCTTCCCTATCCCTATTTGACAAAAAGGGAAACTGACAATGGGAAACTTTGCAGTATCTGTGTGCCTGATGGTCAGCAGAGATGTTTTTCACATGAACTTGAAAACAGCACTGAATCAGCATGTGCATTCTTTTCTTAGGGTTATGGAAGAGTGAGGACTTGAAATATTTTACCCCAACAAGTGAAATGACTTATCTGAAAAATGAACATGTTTTTTATTGCATTTCTAGATTTCTGACCCACAGGAACACTCCTTGCCACCCCTTAATAGTCTTTTCATCCCAACATCCTGGTACCCACACATTTGCATGAGGCTCAGACTTAATAGTGTCCTCTTCCCATGTCTCACACCCCTGACTGCTGGAAACTTCGTGTCTAACCTCATGCCCCCTCATTCCTTCCTGCTTATACCCTTTCCTGGTTACTTCCCCAGAAACCATGTGGGTGGCTGGTTCTTGAGTTTAAATATGAGTCTCATTTCTACCCTGGAGCTACCTCTGAGGCAACAGGAAACACTTAAGAAAAATACGATCCACCTCTGAGTGGGTGAATGTCATATCCTTGACCAGAGACATAAATTGTGTTACAACTCAGGGACAAGGTAAAGTGAGGGCTTAGGAATTTCCTAAATGAGCAGAACCAGCTCTATCCCTAAAGTCAGTTCTCTGTCAAATGATTAATAAGGCCTACTCAAATAGAGACAATTCTTACTTCCAGGCACACTGGACTAAGGCTTATGACAGAGTCATGCTACGAGGCAATATCCCACTCTTCAGTCTTGCCCACCTCAAGCCCAACATAGTTACCAAAATAACCTAAAGAAATCTAAACTCTCATCACTTCCACTGTTACTAATAGGATCCTTTACAAATAGCATGTTGATCTCTGTCCAGAAGGTGTTCCCATCTCTTAGCCTGCTAATCCTGCCCATATGATCAATGAATTAAGAGCTTCTAAAAGCGCCTCCAAATGATCTCTATCTCCGGGCCAAGTCTTTAGATTTAGTTTAGCTTTCAACACCTCTGTGATATAAGCTCTGACAAAAACAGCTTGCATCCTTTGGTTTAAGCTCTAACAAAAACAGCTTGAATCCTTTGGTTTATGCTAATGAATGCATTTCTCCCTTTTTATCTCTTCTCCCTTTCCATGTCAGGGAGGGAGACAGCACACTGGGATGAAGACAAATATGGTGATAGTGTGTGGCCAGAGTAGGACCACCGTGGGAGGGAATTGGAGGACAAATTACTTTTGATATTTTCCAAGTCACATTTAATGGTTTCACACTAGCCAATTCTTCCCCAAACCCACCTAGCTCAGGAACTCAAGTCTTTCCAACCAAAGGATCAAAGGAAACATTTCTGCTTTCAAAGTTTTATTGAGATGTTGGGGAGAAACAGCCAACATATACATTCCTCATTTCGTCACAACTGGCATTTGATCCACATTCCATAGGCTCCTCTCTGGCTTTGATCTAACATCAGTTCTCCTTGGCAGTCCCCCTTCTGCTGTTCTTGTTGCTGCCTGGTGCTGTGTGAAGTGCACCAGGGCAGAGCCCGCTGAGGACTCACAAGTGGGAGCGGTAATTGCGATTGGCTGTGGGAAAAGACAGGTTTGCAACAGAGACGCAATTAGAACATTCCCATCAATACTCTTATTGCTCAAATCTGCATTTAGTTATTGGAAATAATCTCAGGCCAAGATTTCAGGGTCCTGTGAGGGCTGCCTCCAAGAGGGAGGGCCTGGCAGCAATGTGTGCCTAAGTTTGGCAGTCTCCTCCCCATTCCTCACTCACCATCATCACCCCGTTTCCTACTTTTCAGGTTGCCCTTACGGTATTTCCTTTTGCTGCCACCTCTCTTGACTCCCTTGTGAGGAGATCGGCTCTTGCTCCTCCTCATGCCATGACTCTTTAATTTGCGGCTGGTCGACATGGTAAGTTCTGCCAAAATGAGGGGCTTTGCAAGGCCGGGGGGCCAGGAGTCTGGATATTTAAGGGCTTGGCCATTGTGACAGGGAAGGGGCGTGGCTCAGCAGGTGGGCGGGGCTCTATTGTGCTGTCACTCACCTTTGCTGCCCTTTGGTCATATATGTGAAATAAGGTGGTCCTTTTCATGCAGCTCAAGGGTTTCCCTTAGTTTTGAGGTCCTTTTGATGTTAAGTGAGGCTTTCCCAGAGGTGTTATTGAGCAACCGAATCCCAGCCCTGTGCCAGGCATCAGAGGAGTATAAGAGACCATTCGAATATGCTTCTCCTGCCTGTAGGAAATGTAACAGTCATTGAGTGGGTGTGTATGCATCACTGTTTAAGTCTCTCACAGCATCTGGAGATAATAAATATATTTCTATAAGGACTTGACTCTAGAGAACCCAATTCAATATGATCAAAATAGAAATATTCCTTCTTTTTCATCTAGGTCAGGATTTCTCAGTCTAGGCACTATTGACACAATGAGCAGGGTAACTTTTGGTGGGCTGTCTTGTGCATCCTAGGATGTTTGGCAACGTCCCTGGCCTCTACCCACTGGACACTAATGACAACCCAAAATATTCCCAAACATTGCCACTTGTTTCTTTGGGAGGCTGGGGAAGTGAGGGACAAAATGACTCTGGTTCAGAACAATTAACCTAATCGTTTTTTAAAATTTGGTCACAGATATTGATCACATAGCATATGCCATACATTTAGGTGGTAGAAAATTAGTGGAGGATAAAAACATGTAGATACTGTGCTCGTGGAACTCTCAGCCCACTAGGGAGAAAGCCATTCATTGGTGTCTACATAAGTCAGTGAATAAGTACTTAGGGAGTCATTTTGGCTGGAGAAGGACAGAGGGAAACTCCCTGCATGGTACAGGATGAGGTTGGAGAGAGAGAGATCAAACCATGATCAAGTACATTGGGAAGCCCTTGAAAATGTTAAGAGGATGGCTTGTGAGATTAGAGGGTGCCAACTGGGTGATGTATTCACTGGAGGAGCCGTGTAAAGGGAGATGCTACTATCAACATCAATGGTTCAGTAGAGAGAAAGATTTGATGATGGCTTAGGTCTGGCCAGGAAGGGTAATTGAGATATAAGGGAGACAAGAGACCAAGACTTGGTAATGGATTGGATTTGGGAGGTGAAACAGATGGTGTCAAGGGTGTGGCTTTTGTTTCTGCATAATGCAGTTATCTGGATGCTGGTGCCATTCATGGGGATAAAGGCCAGACATGGGGAGAGTGATGATCATGTACTTGGTATGACATACTGGCTTTGAAGTGCCTTTGACACTTACAAATAGATATATTGAAGGATTATTGGTGTATAAGTCATCCAGCCTTTCCTTTTTCCTTCATTATACCTCATAGTAAATGCTTTTGAAAATATTTCTTTTTTTTTTTTTTTTTTTTTTTTGAGGCTGAGTCTTGCTCTTTTGCCCAGGCTGGAGTGCAGTGGCACAGTCTGGGCTCACTGCAACATCCGCCTCCTGTGTTCCAGCATTTCTCCTGCCTCAGCCTCCCGAATAGCTGGGATTACAGGGGCGTGCCACCACGCCCAGCTAATTTTTGTATTTTTAGTAGAGACAGGGTTTCGCCATGTTGGCCAGACTAGTTTTGAACTTCTGATCTCAGGTGACCCGCCCACCTTGGCCTCCCAAAGTGCTGGGATTACAGGCATGAGCCACTGTGCCCGCCTCATTCAGATTTCTATAGAACTTGTTTGCTATTTCTTCCATTTGTCCCTCCTTCTCTCTCCACTGCCATTATCCTCATTCAAGAACTGAGCATCTTGTGTGCAGGAGATCCTTAGCAAAAGTTGGTTGAATAGAAGAGCGAATGTAGTTCAAGCCCCACTCCCTGGTTTTCTGATATCTATAGATGGCAAATTGTGTTTTGAAACCCAGATTCCTTGAATAGCCACCATATGTGACACTTTCCATTTTCCTCTTCCAGGCAGGTCTCTCTGGAGACCTTCTGTTGGTGATTTGTTGGTGACTTTTATTCACACAAAGAAGCAGTTCTATAAAACAGACTACTGGCTTGCTTTTTGGTACTCCAGACCTTCTGTGTCCACTCAAGGCTGGTTCTTTCCTCTACAAACATGCCCCCATGAAAGCTGGGACCTGTGTGAAAGCAGGAATTGAGAAATTGGGCTCACCACTGAATATTCCCTGGGAGTTAATCAGTCCTGCCACAGAATAGAAGCTCAGTAAATATTTGTGAAATGCATTTGGTCAGTGACTAAAAAGTCCTTTTATTTTTCTAAATCCTGTTCCTTCCCACTTTGTCCCACATCTCTAAGGAAGACTTCCCAACTTACCAAATTTTCACTGTCCTTTGAAACTTCTTCAGAGTTTATTATCCATATGACCTTGGCTTTAAAGTCTAGACAACCAACCCTAATTGTGTGAAATCGTGTTTTATGCCTGCATTGCCAGCCATGTGTGTTAGACTGGTTTCAACAGGAGGTGGTGTGTCTTCGTTCTGGTCCTCACTGGACTTCTCTGGACGTTAGCTCCCTTGTTCTATAAATAAGCAGGTTGGGCTAGGTGATCTCTGAAATGATCTGACTTTGGCGATAGCCTCCTTCTCGTTAGGGACTGTACCTTTTATTTCTAATGCATTTTCCACAGGTACTAGCATGGCCCACACTAGGTGGTCAGTAAATATTTGTTCAGTCTAGCTGCTTTGGTGTATTATGAGGATAGTTCAACACAATCACAGTGACTTTGCACAAGTGGGGGCATTTCTAGGCAGGGAAGAGAGAAGACATTGTCCTCACAACAGGTCCTCTGGTGCTCTGTGCCCGCCTCTCATGCCTGACACCATTGGCTATAATGTTTACAGAGAAACTGGTCTCTTTGGTTTTAGAGGTATTTTTCTGGATGGTCCTGAAGATTGGATACTATTTCTCTCCTCAGTCCCTCCCACCCTCAAAAGACCTGCTGTGCCAAGGAGAAGTTGAGATCACAGGGAAGAAGACAGCCAGACTTGGGAACTGATGAAGAAACAAACAAAAAAGTCCCCTTTGCCCAGAGTTGAGGAGCAGTTCTGGTTCCAGACACCCATGCTGAGAAACTTGAGCAGCAGAAAACCCAGTGGGGCACGGGGTAGGCGATTCACAGGCCACTCAAGGCGTGGGTGTGTGTAGGCTGTTTGGGTTGGCTCCTGTATCGGACCTCCTGGAGGGAGGACGGAGCAGAGCTGAGCATTGGCCACTGCTGCCTGTCTCTGTTTCTCTTTCCATTTCTGCCCCAGTGTTGCTCAAGCTAGCAGCAATTTAGATAGAGCCCAGTAAGCTACTTCTAACCCTTAGCAGGTCCAGGATGAGGCCTTTCCTTGAGAACCATCTGTTAATCCAGTCTGCTGACTGTCTCATCATTTTTTTTCCTGCTATCTTTGCACAGAGAGGACATATGAGTGACTTCAAATAACTCAGCATAGGACTAACAGGGACAGCCCCATAAACCTGTTTCCTTCATACCTTAGTTTCCCTGGTGGGACTTAACTTTTTTTCCCCTTGATGAAAGGAAATGACTATGTTCTGATCATTGTTGGCACAGAAAGAGAGATAACTAAATTCCTGGCCTTTTGAGAAGAGACACTATCAGCCTTTTCTTTCTTGGGGCCCAGGGATGTCTTGCCTGGAGACAGGTAAATGGACAGGATGGTGTCTGCATCTCCTAGACGGGTAGCCTGGGTTGCAGTGCAGGAAAGGGCTTGGGGGCCAGTGCTCTCACTGGTCCCTTTCCTAGGCTAGGAAAGGTAGGCTTAGGGTGTCACTGTTTTGGAAGTCAGATCTCTAGTTAGATTCCATGTTACCTCTCCAATTCAAACTCACTCCATTAATTTTCCCGGGGAGTACAGCAGATGCCTTCATAGGGCTGGATCTTCCCAGCAGGCTGAGACTTGGGGCTTATGAAGAGGGAACACGGAAAAGTTGCTGACAGTCCTTACACATGTCGATGACTCAGTCTGAATCCCTCTCTGAAATCTAAGTCTCTCCAGATGTTGACCTCGGCTGGAAAGCAGGGGCCTTTTACCCTGTTCACATGCACACCCTGTCTTCTCTACTGCTGCTGCTGCTGCTGCTGTTCGAACAGGTCAAAGGGGCGTGGGGACAGATTGGAGGAGGAGAAAGTGGCTGACAGAGGTGCCTCACCAAGGGGCAGAGCTCTCTGAACTCAGAACACATTCACTGTCTTCAGTAGGGAATAAGAAGAGGCCAGAGACCAAGGCCTAGGGGTAGTTTGCAGAGCAAAAGGGGGGAAGGATCTTAACTCCATACACCTTTTTTTCATCCAGTTCTGGAGGTATAGGCAGCATCTTGGTTCTGAGGATGGCCTGGAGTCTGTCTGAAGATATGGTGGTGTTCCTTCCCGTTTTTCCATCAGGCTTCTCTCCTATTCTTTCTGCTGCATTCTCAAATTGTTTTTCAGTAAACAATTTCTGCTTTTTTCAGGAGAGAGATTGGGGTGCTTAAAGTGAGAGATTTATCACAAGAGCAATGGTCATGGGAGGCTCTTAGGGTCTACCTTGTCCTGCTTCTTTGGGAGCCAAGAGGCTTATCTCAGGGGCCACACCTGGGCGGTGGAAGAGCCAGGATAGTGACAAGATTGCCGACCCCAGGCCAAGGACTGCCTGCTGCACCATAGTGCCTTCCCTTCTCGACTTAAAAACAAACCTGTCCTTGAGTCTCCACTCTATTAGCCTTTTCTTTCATGCATGCCTGCTATGATCACAGTGAAGGAACCTAATATTAAAGAGGGAGAACTGGAAAAAAGTAGTCCTTTTTAGAGGCAGAGCATGAATTTGGATGACCTCTGGACAACTTTCAAGTTCTCATTTTGAGAGCATTCAAACTTTCATTTGCTTTTAATTATTTTCAGACTTCTGAAAATTGATCATTTCTGTTCCTTTTGTCTTTCCAAGTCCCACTAACAATAAAACTACACGGTATAATGGTGCATAAAGAAAATTCA